ACCACCCACTCTTTTTTTCTGTGTATTTCTCAGGCAGCTCCTTCTTATTCTTCTCATAGTTCCCTCCTCTACTGTCCAGCCCCCTAAATATTAGTGTCCTTGAGGGCCCTGTGTCAGGCTCTTTTTTTTCTCATTTTACCTTCTCCCAGTTGTCACTTATTTACAAGGTGATTTCCCGATGTATTCGTCCATTTTTACACTGCTATAAAGAACTACCTGAGACTGGGTAATTTATAAAGAAGAGAGGTTTAATTGATTCACAGTTCATCTTTATAGAAATAATTTAGCTTCCCGGCCAGGTACAGTGGCTCACATCTGTAATCCCAGCATTTTGGGAGGCCAAGGCAGGTGGATCACTTGAGTTCAGGAGTTCGAGACCAGCCTAGGCAACAAGGCAAAACATCATCTATGCAAAAAATTAGCTGGGCATGGTGGTGCACATCTTTAGTCCCAGCTGCTTAGGAGGCTTGATGCACAAGAATCGCTTAAACCCGGGAGGCAGAGATGAGCCAAGATCGCACCACTACACTCCAGCCTGGGTGACAGAGTGAGACTCTGTCTCCAAAAAAAAGAAGTCCCTAATTGTGTAAGTTTCTAGCCCCACAAAAGCCGATCCACTCCATGACCAGTCCGAGAGGAAAGACCTAAAGATAATGGCATGGGTAGTTTGCCAACCATTCAGATGGATTAAAGTGAAGCTCAAAGTTGACAAATCCCACCATTATGGTCAGAGTTTACAGCTAGTCTTTCAATTCCCCACTCCTAATGGAGAACAGATAATGTAGGGATACCAGCCTTTAAGTAAATGGAAGCATGGAAGACATAGGCCAGACAATTAGAAAATAGGATCTAGGAGAAAATGTCAAGAGAACTTAGAAAAGAAAAGACAATGTGAGCATACATCAAGAATAAGATGCCATAACAATTATAAAGGACAAAAGAATTCTTAGAAATTAACAGCATGGGAGCAGAAATGAAAAACTCAAGATTGGAAAATAAAGTCGAGAAAATTTCCCAGAAGCAAATCGAAAGACAAAGGCTATGTAAGACTATGTAAAGACAAAGACTATGTAAAATAGGAAAGAAAAAAATTAAAATTAGATGATTAGTCCAAGATATCTAATATCTGAATAATAGGAATTTCTGAAAGAGAGAAAGAGGAAGTCATCATCATCATAACATTTCCTAGATCTAAAAAAATGAATTTCCAAGGCTGAAAGTATTTGCCAAGTGACCATATTATTGGAATAAAATAGATCCATGTAAGCTGGGCGCGGTCGCTCACGCCTGTAATCCCAGCACTTTGGGAGGCCGAGGCGGGTGGATCACGAGGTCAAGTGATCAAGACCATCCTGGTCAACATGGTGAAACCCCATCTCTACTAAAAATACAGAAAATTAGCTGGGCATGGTGGCACATGCCTGTAATCCCAGCTACTCGGGAGGCTGAGGCAGGAGAATTGCCTGAACCCAGGAGGCGGAGGTCGCGGTGAGCCGAGATCACACCATTGCACTCCAGCCTGGGTAACAAGAGTGAAAATCCGTCTCAAAAAAAAAAAAAAAAAAAAAAAAAAAA